GAGTACCTACTAACATATCTCAATTTTGACCCATCTCACTGTGCAATGTGGTAATGAGGCTCTTTACTAAAATATTAGCGAATCGCTTAAAACCTTTGTTAGCTAGTATTGTTAGTGAAGAGCAAAGTGCATTTGTGTCAGGGAGTTTAATAACGGACAATATACTTATTGCACATGAGGTAGTTCATTTTTTGAAAATCAGGACCGGAAGGAAAAATAAATTCATGGCAGTGAAGTTGGACATGGCGAAGGCTTATGATAGGGTGAAGTAGACTTATTTACACAAAGTGTTGAATAAATTGGGTTTTGATGAAAAGTGGATTATAGTGGTTATGGAAACTGTTAGTACTGTCTCCTACTCTATTTTGTTGAATGGTAGTGCAGGGGATCTCTTTGTACCATCTAGAGGGATTAGACAAGGTGATCATTTATCACCTTACTTATTCCTATCATGTGCAGAGGGACTTACCAAGTTAATTAATGTGGCAACGGCTAATGGACACTTATCTGGGATTCAGATGAATAGAGGGCCAACTGTATCTCATTTGCTATTTGCAGATGATTCTTTGGTGTTTTGTAGAGCAAATGACAGGGAACTAAATGTATTGAAACAGTTGCTGATCAGGTATGAGAGATTAACAGGACAACAAATCAATTACTCAAAATCGTCCATTATTTTTCATGCTAATGTCCTTGCTGATGAGAGGGAAGATTTGAGCAAAAGGTTGGGAGTTGTCATAGGGGGAAGGTTTGACAAGTATTTGGGGATGCCAGCTGAGATTGGTTGATCCAAAAAACAGATTTTCAAATATCTTGAAGACAGAATGGTTGACAAGATAAAGGGGTGGAAAGATTGTTTCTTTTCTACTGCTGGGAAGGCGACTCTTATTAAGTCTGTTCTTCAAGCCCTTCCTACGCATACCATGAGTTGTTTCAGGCTTCCTATGGGAGTTTGCAAAAGTTTGAGTAGTAAAGTTATGCACTTTTGGTGGTCTAGGTCTAAGGAAGGACGGAACTTGTGCTGGTTAAAATGGAAACAGTTGTGCAGGAATAAGCAAGAGGGTGGCTTGGGTTTTAGAGATCTCAAAGCTTTTAATATTGCACTTTTAGCTAAACAAGGATGGCGGCTAGCGGTGGAGGATGGTAGTCTACTCTCAAGAATTTACAAAGGAAAGTATTACCCTCACAATTCTTTTTTAGAGGCCAGAATAAGAGGTAATTCAAGTTGGGCTTGGAAGAGCATATGTTCATCTAGAGAGGTTGTGCAGAGAGGCCTGAGGTGGCGAGTAAGTACAGGGACTACAGTGCAGGTATGGACTGATCCATGGATTCCAAATTCTTCAGGTTTTAAATTTCTTCACTTTGTTTTACGGGGTGCAATGTGTGCACAGTTCAGGACTTGGTGGATCCTTATTCAAAATCTTGGAATATTGTGCTTATTTCTCAGTTTTTTTCTCAAGAAGAGTCTGAGAAATTTTTTTCAATTCCATTAAGTGAAACTACTGTTAGGGATAAAAAGTATGGAAATTCTCAAATGATAGAAGTTTTACGGTGAAGTCTGCATACAGGGTTGCCCTTGAGTGGTTGCAAAGAGCTACTAGATCGTTGGGATATGAGGAAGAATTGATGGATGTGCAGCTGTTAATGGATTTTGGGACAACTTATGGAAGCTTAAGGTGAAGGAGAAATTAATCACTTTATTTGGAGTTGTGTCTATAGGATTGTCCCAGTTTGGAAGATTTAAAGAAACGTCAAGTTGTGGAATCTGATATTTGTTTGAGGTGTGGTTTGGATAGTGAATCTATTGAACATGTGATGTTGAGATGCCCTTATGCCGTTAAAGTGTGAAAATTTTGCCATATCAGATTGGATCCTAATTGTTTCCATAATAATACATGGGTGCAATGGTTTTGTGGTCTAATGAAATTGTGGGAAAAGGCAGAGGATAGAGATTTATATTTGAGCTTAATTGTCTATGTTTGCTGGTATTTATGGAAGAGTAGAAATCAATTTTATTATGAACAGAAAGAGATTGGGGAGGGCTCTAATGCAGTTAGCGTTTCACCATTGGAATAAGTATCAAGAGGTTATTAAAGGTGGCCATGAAGCTAGGATGAGCAGTTCCTCTCAATTTGATGTTGTGCGATGGAAAGCTCCTGCAGAAAATGGATTGAAGTTGAATTTTGATGCTGCCTATAAAGATCACACCAAAGATGTTGCTACTAGGGGTAAGGTTTTAAAGACGGTCATCCATTTCTTCCCAAACGTGGCTTCTGCATTAATAGCTGAAGCCATGTCTGCAAGATTAGCCTTAAAGTGGGCTTAAGCATGGGAATTAATAGAAGTGGAGATTGTAGGAGATTGTAGTTTAGTGACTAATCCATCAAAAGTTTCAGTTGACATTGAAGCTATTTGGGGACATTGAAGCTATTTGGGGAGATATTCAGGCTTATATAAAACGACATGATCGATGGAAGATTGGTTGGGTGAAGAGGCATGCAAATGTTTTGGTTATAGTCTTGCCCAGTATGCTATGCAGAGAAGAGAAATTGTATGTTTTTTTGATATTTTCCCAACTTTCATAGAAGAGAAAGCTTATATAGATTGTATTCATATTTAATTTCATCTAATGAAAGATTTTCTTGCCTTGAAAATATATATATATATGGGAATGGGAGGTCCATGTAATTATGTTATTCGTGAAGGAAGTCAATGCAATTAGGAGCGGAGCCTAGTTATTTTACAAATAAATTTTAAATTGAAGTCCTAAAATTTATTGACAATTTCACTTGGTCCCTCAACTTTTTCAAAACACTTGTATATTAGCCTCAAAGTAGGAGTGTTCAAAAAAACCGGTAAACCGAAAAATCGGACTGGACAGTACTGAATTGGGCGGTTTGGGCTAATTGTATAGCAGTTTGGTCCGGTCCTGGGCTCAAAATTATGGAACTGTAATTTTTTAGTCCGGTCCTGGTTTAGGCTCATACTGGACCGGACCAGCCCAAACCGAACCGTTACTATGTTATATAATATATATTTATATATATGTATATCATATCCTAAACCCTAAATCAATTACAGTTCTCACGTGCTCCTTTTCTTTCTTTTGTTCTTTAAATTCCTTATAAATTTCTTTTAAAAAAAGTCAAATTTCCCTTTTCAATTATATTTCAATTTTCTTTCCTTTTCTTTCAAATATATCTAAATTTTCTTTCCTTTTTTTTTTTTTTGTGTGTGTGTGTGTGTGTGGGTGTGGGTGTGTGTAATATATCAATGTTAGTTAATATTTTTTATTTTTTTATTTTTTAACTTTGCCCTTTCAAAATTAAAATAAAATAAAAAGAAAATCAACTGAGACTGGCAAACCGAACCGAACCAAACCGGTTTTTCATGGTTTGGTTTGGTTTGGTTCCATGAATATTATGGTTCGGACTGATTTCAAAAATAGTGAAACCGTTATAAATGGTTTGGTCCCAAAATACTCATAATCCGGTCCAAACCGGACCGTATGCACCCCTACCTCAAAGTATAAAGTTCGAAAATTAATTTAAATTGCATCCTTTTGACTTTGACCATTTTAGTCATACTCTTGAAAACTCAAATCTTGTGAAACATACCATACAAAAAGAAAATTATTGTAAAACATAAATTTTTGTTATTATAATTGTAGTATACTCATCATTACTTCATTTATATATACACATGTATATTAATTTAAAAGAGAAAAATACATTGATGTCCCCTCATTTTTAATAAAAATGCATTCACTTGTTTTTTCTTTTTGTCACACATTTTAGTCTTACGGTTTTTACAATTAAAATATCTAAAATTATATACTAATCACTATTTGTAAGTTTTGGATTCATTAGAAAGGAGGAGAAATTAAAATGTTTTGAGACCTAAATGACAAAATGCCAATAGCGACAATGATATCATATATATTAATACTTCTAATTGTCACTTGCTAAATGACAAATTGTATGGCAATTAATTTTTTGAATAAGTTACTATAAGTTATAGAACTTGTGTAATTTTATTTAGTTAAAATTAATAATTTTCTAAATCTTTCATGAAGATAATAATGATATATTTTTTCAAAAGTAAAATCCAAAATGACTTTATGAATAATTAAACAATTGTCGAAGAAAATTTGATTCTTTAACAATGTTCTCTCTTTATCTCTTCATTTTTTAATTGAAAAGTATCATTTGCTCCTCTATATATTTCTTTCTCATATCAATTTTTTTTCTTCTATTTATTAAGGTTGCATTTTTATTCTTGAGGTATATATATTATGAATATATACTATATGCAAAATTATATTATAATTTATTTTTAAAATAAAATTTAATTACATAATACAAATTCGGCTCCCCCAAACTAAAATTCCTTGCTCCGCCTTGAATGCAATTGATTTTTTATTTTGTTTTTTTCACATTTTATGTATGCTATTTGCATTGTTCAAACAAATTGTCTCTTCTTGTGAAAGACTATTCTAACATAAAGATTTGGAAGCTCCAAGATGGTAAAAGTGCTGAAATCTAATGATTTGAGTGGCTGGTGGTTCGAATCCGCCCCAATCTATTTGATAATAGAAATAATAATTATAAAAATAATATAGGATCATTAAATAATGTTAAATTACAAAATTATATATATTTTTTAATAGTTATATTCGTGCACACATGCTCCACTCGGACTTGAAACCTTGAAGATAAGGGGCTTAAACCGGTTGGCATTTGTAATTACAAAATGGTTTATAATTACAAAATTATTAATTAATGCAAGTATACTGTTGGATATTCCTTAATGGCACTTTCGTCTTTTAAAAATTTTGATATTTGCTATTAAAATATTTTAAATAAGTGAGAGCAATAATGACAGTTGATATATTTTTTAAGATATAAAATCAAAATGTTTATTTATGCGTGTGAATGTAATTTATAAAAAAAACACATATTGTCAGCATTTAAACTTATATAGTAATACAGTGCTGCTTGGTGCTTGCTCATCACTCAGTTTAATATTCAAATTTATCGAACTATAAACTTTTAGACCGTGTTTGTTAAGAGAACATATATATGGTCACCTTGTTCCCGACAATGGCACCGTACCAAAACCAGAAACCAAAAATGCCACTCTCTCCCTCTAGGGTTTTGTTGGTTTGAAGACAGACGGGTTTAGCTATCGTCATCTTCCAATTGCTTCGTGGCACTCGTCGGCGTTCGTCATATTCGCCGAAAGAATCATCGGATTCTGATAGTTTGGTTTCACTGCCATAGACGAGGTAAAATAACTTCTCTCGTGGTTGATTTTTGCCATTTGCTCTTCAATATGGTGATTTTTGGGTGAATGTTTGTTGATTATATGCCGGATCGACCACCGGGTTGACTCGGCATAGTACTCCTAATCTCACATACGATTATGTGTGTACACTGTATATTATGGTTCGTTCTTGTTATTGGGCTTGTTTTTGCTGTATAACCGACATTGCATGTGTGTGAGCTTCGTTTGTTGTTTCATTGGTGGTATGATTGCGACTGGGTTGACTCGGCTTCACAAAAATGTGAGACAACGGAGGGCATTTTGGGTTGACTCAGCAATGACAATGAGTTTTCATGGATTTTGGTTGCATCGTGTCAGCTTCAGAGTACAGTACTACTCGTCTTAGTTTGTTTAGAGTTCAGTTTTGATTAATTTGGGTTTGCTATATATAAGATGTTTTGGATTCTGTAATGTTAATGAGATTGCTTCTAATACTTGCATGGAGGCCCTCCAGTTTGTAGGGCTCAATAATTCTGATTTAGAACATATATATATATATATATTGGGTTTAATTTATTAGTCTCACTTCTGGGGACCGTAGCCTGGTTCTGTTCTATTTTTCAGTTGTATTTTTTTTTCTTAGGGTTGATTGCTCTCACTTCCTTCTTGTATTCTTTGTATATTCTTAAGAATAAATAACCACATTCACTGAAAATGTCGACCAACAGAAGGATTTTTATTTCCCTAAGCTCCATAAAATTGTTTGCCAGACCACATTTCTGGAGGAAGTGGTATTAGTGGGTCTTTCAACCTCCAAAACATGCACGCGCAGCCTCTTCAAAAAAGAAAAAAAAAAAATGATTTTCTTGCATAAAAATTAAAAAAAAAAATCTAGAAAATGTTTTCTGTAGAAACAGTTTGATTGAAACTGCTTTTATCTGTCTATTATATATAAATTTAAACCTAATTTATTAAGGAAGAACATGTTTCATCCATAAAAAAAAAATAAAATAAAATAAAACTAGAAAATGTTTTCTGTAGAAACAGTTTCATTGAAATTGCTTTTAATCTGTCTATTGGATATAAATTTAAACCTAATTTAGGAAGGCCATAAAAAAGGCCTTTACCGAGCCACGGTCCCCCAATGTGGTCTGCTGGGAGGGGTAGGACATAGATCTAACCTTTCGGTATTGTTTGAAAGAAACTTAGACCGGAACATGTGTTCTCACGTCTGCCAGTCTTTGCCTACTCCATTAATTCAGTCATTTATGCATCAGATTCTATAGATTGCATCAATATATTACCTTATAACCTTATGTACTATATGCACACATGTCCAAATAATCAAATATAATAGATTTATTTCTTAATTATCACGCTGGCATTATTCATGATTGTGATCTTGTCAAGGTATACTGTACAAATCCCACACTACTTAATTTAGTGCAATATCACTAATTTCAACTTTTTCTATTCATAATCCAAATCATGATTTTTATTCATGTTTTGAACTATCATGTTGTCTCAATAGCAGGTTGTTGCTACCTTACTGCATTTTATTTTATTTCACAATTCTTTTTTTTCTTTCTTTTCAGAAATGTGGCTTAATTTCTTTCAATAGAATGTCTATCTTGGATAGTTACTGTTTTGATGATTTCCAGTATTATATAAGTATGAGTTCTTCAATTTCCATGTTTCTAACAATTCATTTTTTGGCTTTAATTTTCAAGTTAGATGGACTACAGTTCTGATGAAGATTCGGACATAAGTGAATCGGAGATAGATGATTACAAAGAGAAACCTTATGACCAACTGAGAGCTGGCAACTACAAAGTAAAGAGTGCAAATGGCACCCTTAGGTGCCCCTTCTGTGCTGGAAAGAAGAAACAAGATTACAAGTACAAGGAGCTTTTTCAACATGCTTCAGGAGTGGGCAAAGGTTCCTCGAACAGAACCGCAAAACAAAAGGCGAACCACCTTGCACTCGCCAAATTCTTGGAGATGGACCTTGCAAATGAGGCTGAGGAACCCCAGCATGCGACTAGACCACCACCTTCAGCTCAAAGCTCTGATCAGAATGACCTATACTGCTGGCCTTGGACTGGAATTGTGATGAATATAGTGAATGAGCCAAAGAATGAAAAACATTTGGGTGACAGTGAAGATTGGTTGAAAAAGTTCTCTAAATATAAACCTCTAGAAGTAGAGCTTTTCTGGGATGACCAGCACCAAACTGCCCAAGCTGTTGTGAAATTTGATAGCGATTGGACTGGTTTCAAGAATGCCATGGAATTTGAGAAATTTTTTGAGTCTGACCACCACAGCAAAAAGGAATGGAATGCTCAGAAAAATCTTCCTGGTTCACATATTTATGGATGGTTTGCTCGTGAGGATGACTATAGTTCGGAAGGGCCAGTGGGAAATTATCTTCGTAAGAAAGGAGAGGTTAAAACAATCTCTAACCTTGTTCGAGAAGCGACTCGGGATAGAAACAAAACGGTGGCAAACCTAGCCATTGAGATAGATATGAAAAATGAAAATCTGAATGAATTACAGTACCAGTACAATGAGAAGACCATGTCGCTAAGTAGGATGCTTGTGGAGAAAGACATGCTACATGTTGCTTTCTACGAAGGTTCCCCACTCTCTCTCTTTTTGTGTGTAAGTCTGTGTGTTCGTCTATGTGCATGCTTGTGCACACTCGTACATGGCTATACATGCATGATGTGATGTTGATAATCATCTATGTAGATTATTACATTTACATATCTACTTCACTTGCGAATGTTGGATTTCAACCACTGGTGGATCCACTCCCGGCCGTTGTTCATTTACCTCCAATCATTATATTTTTAGGGTTCTAAAGTATATGTTGAACTTGTTGGTGCGTGTGAGCTGTGTAAAGGCCAGACACTAGCTAATATTGGTCCTGGTTGATTGAGGGCACTGGAAGGGACATATTAGTTACAGATTTAACATTTGGCACTATTTGCACCAAGTGGTTGCCCTTTGACTCAAAGTGGCAAACGAGCTGAATATGTAAAAAAATAAGCAATGAAAAATTGGTTAAGTTGATTAACAAACTTTTAGGGGCTCATAGAGCCTCAAAGTGGGCCACAATCATCATACGTGGCCATTCATTTAGCGTCATGAATATTGGTTCTCTATTGATACATGAAACTAACTAATTTAATAATACGTGACTGCTGTATTACTGTGTCAGAATCAAGGAAGATGCAGCGTCTAGCACGAGAGCATGTTAAAAGGGTTTTGGATGAGCAGGAGATGCTGAACTATCAGTTGGATAAGAAGAAAAAAGACCTTGATTCTTGGAGCAAAGAGCTGAACAAACGTGAGGTACTAACTGAACGTGAGAGACAGAAACTTGATGACGAGAAGAAAAAGGTAATATATATTCATTTTATACATTCATTTAAGTGCATGGACACGTGCATATATGTGCATTTTATATATATTGTTCTTTTCCATTGTTTTCTCTCTCTGTGTCTGTTGACATCAAAGATTTTCTTTCATTTTGCCAAAAAAAGTTTGCTGAATTGATCATTTCACTTGTAACGGCAGTGATTTGCCCCAACCAGAAGGCAGGATGTATAGAAAAATGTCTTTTTTTAATTCTGCATGATTTTTCCTTGTAATATACACAATACAGGCAAATGTACAAGTTCTCTTCTTCCAGCATAATTATAGTGATTATATCTGTCTAATTGTCCCTGGTATTCCCTGTTTCAAGAATTAAAAATCAAAACTGTATCATTGGATTCCACCAAACAATATATATATATATATATATATATATATTTAAAAAAGGACAGAAAAAGTACTTACTCTAAAGACATTGATTGTTTCAAAAGCTTCACAGAGGAGCAGTTTCTTATTTCAGTATGGATGCCTTAGCTGAGTAGTCAGTACTAATTTATTTGTTTTTCCTTCTTTCTTTCTTTTTTTTTCTTTTTTTTTTTTTTTTCCCCTTTTCCCCCCCTTTTAGAACACTGTGAGAAACAATTCACTTCAAATGGCTTCCATGGAGCAGAAAATAGCTGATGAGAATGTCTTAAGGCTGGTTGAAGAGCAAAAGGTGTGCAATTTAGCATTAGGCTATGACTAGTGCTGCTAGTTTGCATTTTAAGGTTTTCTTTTTTCATTATATAACAATTTGTGTAGCTTTTATTGACTGGGGTTCAAATGGACAGAGGGAGAAAGAAGAGGCTTTAAAGAAGATACTTAACTTAGAGAAACAACTAGATGCTAAACAGAAATTGGAGATGGAAATTGAAGAGCTGAAAGGGAAACTACAGGTGATGAAGCATCTAGGAGATGAAGATGATGCTGCTGTTCAAAAAAAGATGAAAGAGATGACTGAAGAACTGGAACAAAAAATTGATGAAATGGGCGATTTGGAGTCTTTAAATCAAACTCTCATTGTCAAAGAGCGCAAAAGTAACGATGAGCTGCAAGAAGCTCGTAAAGAATTGATTTCAGTATGTTTTCTTTTCCCTGCCCGTTTGTTCTCTGGGACTGTTTGATTTGAGTTTTATGCCCAACTCTGCTGAGGTAACCTTATGAGAATTGGACTTTTATGAATTGTAAGTTTAACAAGTATCCTTAAGTCAAATATGTGGCTTCATAGCACACAAGGATCGAGTTGGCCACCAATAAAAGTTCCCACCCCAGATATCTTCAGGTTACAGAAGTTATTATCAGATGAAGTCTGACTATCCTACTGGAATCACATTTTCTCGTAGTTGAGAAAAACAAAACAAAATGAGATCATAGAGAATTAAATTGTTAGTTAGCTATCTACTAAAAGGTATCGATCAATTGATATATTATTTTATTACAAGCATAATAGCACTGTTCAAATCCCAAGAGCAGCCACTCTTTGCAAATAGTGTTATGCCAAAGGTTAGGTCTGCATCCCAGCTAGCCTTCCCAATGCCCTTGATTTATGGGGACCACACTGGTAATGGCCCTTGTTCTTTGAGTGCAAGCATAAGCAAGTTGTACTTATAAACCCCCTAGTAACATAAAGCACACTTTTTCGACCACATAACCTCTGGCAGCTAGCTTGTGATTATTGGGTTTATTCTTTCTACTCGTTCACAATGAATTTCCTCATGTTGAAATGACTTAGGACATTGGTTTGGTTTCTCTTTATTTCAGGGCTTGAGCGATATGTTGAGCACTGGTCGCAACACTCTTATTGGGATAAAGAGAATGGGAGAAATTGATGTAAAGCCCTTTCAGAATACATGCAGACTAAGATTCCCGCTTGAAGAAGCACAAGTCAAGGCCTCGGAACAATGCTCCCTGTGGCAGGAGAGACTGAAAAAACCAGAATGGCATCCATTTAAAATAGTTGTCGTCGAAGGAAAACCTGAGGTACACTTTCTGAGTATCCGTCTACTGTTCTGCTCATGTGGTGATTCTGTGAACTAGTGCTTGTTCACGTGGTTGTCACTATATATTGTGTTTTCATATGTTAATTCTATCAAACAAGTAGATAGCTCCCAGACACTCTTTCATCAGGGTCCTGAGTGTCTCACACAGACACAGATTGTAGAGAGAAAACTAGAACCTATTTTTCTCTCAGCTTGTTTGTGGCTAAAAACTTGCCCAATTTTCAGTAACTTTGTAATGGTGCTTCAGTTCAAGAATTTAATGGAAGTGCTCCTGTCTTCCTACAAATCTAAATAACAAGTTATTGGGAGATTAAGAAAATGTAAAAGATGTTTTGTAATACAGGAAGTGATAAATGAGGATGATGAGATGCTGCAAAATCTGGAGGAATGGGGAGATGAAATATATGAGGCCATCACTACAGCCTTAAAAGAAATCAATGAGTATAATCCAAGTGGGAGGTATGTGGTGCCTGAGCTGTGGAACTTCAAAGAAAAAAGGAAAGCAACATTGAAGGAAGTCATTAGTTATATCTTGAAGAATTTGAAGATACTTAAGCGCAAGAGATTATGAGATTAAGGTCAGTACTTGTATATTTTATTGTCATTAATTTTCGATTTTTACTGGATAGATCAATCAAGGTATGGCTTAATGAGTTTTGAATCAAGACACGTGCATGCTTGTGAATAATGATCATCTAAATAGACGTGTTTTAAAGCTTACAGTGTCAATTTGAACAGATTTGGAGTCTTATAATTGGTATTAATACAAATTTTGTTGGCATCTATAAATCACAAATGAAAATTAAATACAAAAGATTTGATCAGTTTTGGCAGTAAATTCTCTTGTTTGTTCCAGAAACTTGGGTGCAACTCTAAAGATATGTCTAGAGCTAGGACACCTATTTTAGTATAGGGTGGTCCAACAGTCAATACTATACTTATACCTGTGAAAATAATATTTAAAATATATATATATATATATATATTGCCCTGCACTAGACATTGCAACTCTACAAAATAGTTAATTAGTTCAGTGGTAGCATAAATTGTTGGCCCTTCAGGTTGGGTAACCATTACCGTTGTGGGGCTTTATTCTTTTTCTTGTTTTACTCAACAGTGTAAGAGATGATCTCTTATTGTAAACATTTATGGGCCAGTGAGCTAAAAAATGCATAATAACTGGAAATTTTTACTGTCGCGTATTTCATGGAATGGTAAAGCATATTGATCAAGAGAAAATCATTTTCATGTCAACCTAGAAGGACAATCAAAACTGTCTCTTCTAAGCTGGTTAAATATGGGTTTAGTTAGTTTGAATTTAAATATTCCTCATTGTCATCATTGTGGAACATTTACTCGTTCATCCTTCCCATACAAATTTCCAAAAAAAATAAAAAAATCATTTGCGCTTCAATTGCACTTTCTTGTTGGTCGTTCAAGTCTATCTGAAGTTTTTGTACCATTAGAATGACAGAAAATTGTTTGTCGAAGTCAAGGACTGTTGCTTTTACAGTGTCTGAGATTTTGGAGAAAACAGTTGCTTGCTTGAATAACGCCCATTAATTCCACTTGGAAACCATGACAATCGAAAACTAAAATCAAAAGCAACATTTTATTATTTTAAAATGAGTTTATATTTTTGACGTATTTATTGTCGAGTAGACACGCTAACGCCGGCATTTCTTTGCGGTTTTGTGCATATATGGTCTCTTGCTAGGTGGTGCAGGAAAAGGCTGGAGACGGAAGTTCTATAAAGCGGGAGGAGCTTGTAGAAATTTGAAGTGATGAAATGAGAATTTGGGTGAAATTTCTTCCTAGGTGTATATTTCATGCCACCTTTCTTTTTTGGTGAGTGTATGCCATCAGAACTTGTTAAAACTCCATTATAAGATTAACATTTCAATTTTCCAGTGCAGTCACTTGGAATGCCCTGAAAATCGGATTGGTTTCTATTAATGAAGTTCTCATCTTGACAATTTCTTTTCCTCTATAATTTCTGCTTAAATTTTAAAAGAAACAAATCAAATTAAAACGATATTGGTCTTCATAATTCTAAAGCGAGTCTCTCTTAAGAATCATCAATCGCTTATAGACCTTACCAGAAGTTATTGCTGCTGCTCTGCTTCAATAATAATATATATCATATGTATCTAATGGTGTATAAGCACAAGTAATAGTGGGGATACTGTGAGATTTTCCAATCCTATCCAGTCGTGAACCAAGAAGATCACTAAAATATTAAATCAGAATTACTATCCTATAGATTTAGGAAATGTTATCAATGTTATGTTGATCATTTCAGAGTTTTTACAAGCAGCAACTGAATGGTGACATAGCCACACAACAACTGAAGTAACAAATTATTGATTTGAACAAGTTCTGACCTTCAATTACTATGTTTGTGAATTTAAGACTGCCCATTGGCTTGTGCTGATAAACATTAATCGCCAAAATAGTGCAGGAGTAGTAGAACCTGTGCTTAAATAAACAAATCAAGAAAAATAAATGAGAAAACTTTTTGGTCAGATGCCTAGCTATAACATATACAGCACCAGATTCACCTTCAACACGTGATTTTTTTTTTTCCCCTCTAGAAATTATCAACACAATTAAGAAGAAAAGATGGAGAACAAAAATACTAAGTAAGAATGTATTAAAGGAAAAAGAAAGTTATACAAGCTGCAATGGGCATAACCCAGGGATTACAACAAAAATACTGTCAAAAAAGGAACTGGAACTCCGAAAAATAATGGAAGGTGGAGAAGAAGACTGCAAGGTAACATGACCAAGAACATGTTCTCTCTTCACTTCCATATAAAATGAAGAGGCAATATCAGGTATCATCGTAACTCGAAAAAATATCAGGTACCATATACAACAATGAGGAGGAAGTACCATCAACGATATTATTTGGTAATACAAATGTAACAACAATACCACTTACCCACAGCAATCCACATGACATTTGACCATTTGAGAGTATTGGGAACAAGAATCCAACACAGATTGCAGCAGGTAACTAAAACTATTGTACAAAGCAAAGTGGTGACAAACACCATAGAGAGAGAAACAGAAGCAATCAAAAGCAGAAAAAATGTATGTACTCCACAATTACTGGAACAACGTCGCCAACTTACCAAAGTTATTAAACCTTGCAATACCACTGACTAGAATTCAAGCACATTTCATCCTCTTTATAGCCTCCTCTTTCCATGATGACAACCATAAAAGCTTCTTCTCAAGTTGCTCCTTTTTCTCTATACTTTAATTACTACTAATGAGATCATATTTAGAATTTGGACGAAAATAACTTATTTAACTCTGAATTTTATTACTGCCTCAGAATCCCGACATAAGCTTACTTCAGTATTGAGGATTCTTCAAAAGCCAGTTACTTCTACACCCTGGCCTATCAAAACAATACTCCTGCAATGAAATCAAAATATTTTCCCCAACACTACTTTACTTTCAAGCAACAGATTTGATGTTTCATTTGCTCATTGAAAACTTTAACTACCTGAAAATATGTTGTCTTAGTTTTCATAATTTAAGCCTCGAGAAGGTAAAATGTCTAAATAAACAAGAAGCAACCTATAAAGGATAAAATGCAACTGTATACAAACAGAGCAACATAAAGTAAGTTTGTCAATCATGAGACTCGATGGCAATTACACGATAAAGCAGCACATGTTGAACACCTATTACAGTTTTTTAATTAGATATCATTGACTGATTCACCAAAGGCATAACTCATGCAGAGTAGCTAAAACAGTAAAACATGGCATAATTACACAAAATGCTACCAAAAATGCAAATGCAGAATATGCCAGATAAATACATGTAATGTTGTTACAGGGAGTGAAAATACTAAAAGTTACCTGAAAAATAGATACCAGGCATTAATGAAACAACCAAATAGGCTCAAGATGACATAATCAAACATCCATTGTGGACTCATTTGTGGCAGAAATGAGGAATAGATGATAATGGTGTTCAAACAAACAATCCGAACCAGCTAACATGCATGAACAACCGCAGTGAACAGTGAACACTACAAATAAATCCACAGAAGGGGAAGAAAAGGTTTATATCTTCATGATAATTAAAGTCCCTCCGAGCTGGAGATGCAAGGAGTAAGAATAACTTCAATATTGAGGATTTACAAAAAATAATAATGAGACAAGGTCACAAGGAGTCGACAGATGGTGAAAGCAACACGAAAAGAAAATTTCATGGAGCTGTGCTCTGACTATCAAAATCATAAAACCATGCAAACTTCAATGCTTCCTTGAATTCAAAAAAGTAACTGAATAAAAGTAATTCAAAACAAACAGAGCTATATGGGCAAAACTGCAAGTGCTTTAAAAAATCCTTCCAAGTTCCAACTCATGTTCAGTAGGCACTTCTTTTTAGTGCTTGCATCTCAGACATTTGTTGACACGACAACCTCTATTGACACCATGTCTTGCACCTTTTATGAACACTTGCTCATGTCCACCTTTATTTGTGTTAATGTGCAGAAAAACAAGTGCATAACCGATTTTTGGTATCAAAACTATCATGTCTATACAGATACAGAGATTATACTCTCTCCACTGGGAAAAGGAAATGAGATCCCTGTTTCTTTAATGACCTTGTGCCACATCCTCTTTATGCATAATAAAACATCAGATTTGACATTGTCATGACTGCAAGGAAAATAACTGTGAAATGTTATTAAGTCTTCCCGATGCTAGATGTAAGGTTAACTGAAGGTACCAAAATTTTCCCTTCAGATATGTGTCTCTAATACAGAAATCCAGAAAACAAAAGCAAAATAAAAAAAAAAAAAAAAAGAAAGAACTGAAGATACCTATGTCATGAAGCAAGAGTTCAATATAGCTAAAAGAATGTAAAATTGTCGTGATTAAGAGGGAGAGGAGATGGTAAACAGCATAAACCAAAACTCAGAAAAGAAGAGAACTCAGAGCAATGAATTGCATTAAGCAGATATATATTAGCTTGATAAGTTAGTTGGTGAGGAACTTGTAAAAACAGAATGAGACTTTTGCAAGAGAACAAAGAAACAGATTTAAATTAGCTTGATAAGTTAGTTGACACGAGGAATTAAAAAAAAATAAAAATAAAAAATAAGACTTTTGCAAGAGAATGTAATTTTCATGTAAGGAGATGACCAGATGATGCCAGCCAATATGTCAGTGGTGGTGGATGTAATATTAGTACAATAGTACACAAGATCGAAGTAAAAAACAAGACCAGCCAGAGCAGCAATGTCAGCTATGGGTAGTAATGGTGCTAGGTTATGGAGGCAGGATTAGTTGGGACAGTGGGAGATGATTGGTCCAGTGATGGAGCTGGTTGAAGGATGCAATTATATTAGTCTGAGCATCTGTGAAAGGCAGCAGAAATAGCAACCGCCATTTGGAGGTCCAGCAAACATAGAGGGAATGATTGTAGTTGATCCCATGGAAAAAGGAAGAGGAGAGAGAGCGTTCAAATCTTTATGCAAAAACAAATTTGATGCTGTGAGGCACACTATGGAAGTCAACATAAATCATAACAATACCGGGTACCTTAATGCTACAATTACATGAATAAATCATACACTTTCATCACACATATATAAAACAAGGTAGAAAGCTATCTAATGGAATACACATTCTCATTCCCATTATATAAAAGTAAAGGCCCCAACCTTGATGAGTTAATGCTGACATGTATTATGGCCCCTTTCAGAACACAACACTGTTTTGTGTGCTAAGAAACCCCAACTAACTAAAAAGTGGATAGAAACTAATATAGAGAAAACAAGAGAGATCATGTGTGCGTTCTATACCTGTAAAACAAACAGCTGGTGAACTCCTGGATCAAAAGCAGCTGGTTGAACAGATAGAGGACATCTCAGTTCCTACTTACCAATTAAGATAGAACATGAGTGGATATAATTTAAGTTGACTGGCTGCACTCATTTAGGCCCAGCAATCAAAGGATAAAAAGGCTGCATTAATATAAAGAATCCAAGCAATGAAACTTGTAAAGCAACATACTACACAAATATTTACTACAAGTAGGATAATGGAAGGATTAAGCAATCACATGGGAGGATGCAAAAACTAAGATACAACTTTTGCCACTGGTGTAAATAGAAATGTGGGTGCCATCAAGCAAAGACATATAATTCAATAAACCATCTATAATATCATTTATATTTTTTATTATTTTTTTTCAATGAGTATTCTGTTCATTCTCAAAACCTAGACCAAACAAGAAACCAGCATATTTCTCAAGTGAGCCACTAAACAAACTTTCTTTCAACTTCCTGAATGAACTAGATGTGAGCAAACTATCCGAGCCAGCCTGGTGACAAACGCCAACTCTCTCGACCTCCAACAGTTCCGCAATCCTGCTCAATCCACCATGAAGGTTATTGCAGAACCTCATGATATATTTTATGTCATAAATGGTGGGAAAGTACAGGTATAGCAAATCAAAAAACCCTTCTTGTGTATCGGGCAAATTCCGGCACGTCAGAAGCTTAAGCAAGTACCCAAAATCATACGCACTATGGAATGTAACCCAATAAACAGTATCATTCAGTACAATCCCCGACGACATCAGGAGCTCTCCAAAGTGTAGTGAATCAATACCTTCCTCATTATTTTTCTGAAAATTGATCCCACTCTGTCGCAAAAGCTCAATCGAGTCATTTGCAAACACATCCTCGTTAACATTGAATTCACGGAAGTTGAACTGCCAAATGCAACACTTGCCGCCGGTGCCACATGTGGGTAAATTCCCTTGCTCGTCCGAAAATGTAAGGCCTACTTGAATCAATTTCAACATGTCTACATTGTCCTTCAAAGCCTGGTAATTACGATCACAATCGTTCTTGAAATTGCCCACAGATTTAAGAACAATTCCAGGAAACTCCGTATCCATGGCAATACAAGGAAAATCATCAAGAACTCCGCGAATCATAGCAAACTCTTCTTCAAGATTTTCATTCCAAACCTCTCGAATTTCAATCGTCTCACTTTTCTGCATAAGTGACATTGCTTACGGTACAAAAATCGATCGAAAAACAAAAGATTAGACAAAATTTGATTTGATTTGTGAACAAACCAAACACCGTCAGAACATGGAAATCTAGCAAAACTACGCTGAACCAACCCTCTTGATGCGAAAAAGATCTGCAAAACCCCCAACATAATTAGCTACAAATGAATCAAACTGCAAATCAACCCTCTAATAATCTATAAGTTTAATTAAATTAACAGAAATAAATAGGGTTAGCAGATATTGAATTTCACCAGCAATTACCAGAGTTTCAGGCCTTGAATCATAGATCTATGAATCTAACATGTATTGGGAAACATTGACCTCTAGAAACGAAAGGGATCGAAAATTAGGGTTTCGCAATGGGTGTCGCGAAGCGGCGAAGAAAGAAAGATATTTAGGTCAAGATTGAGGTTATATATCAGAGAGATAAGACTGTTTTAATTTTAGATAGAGAAAACCTTAGAGAGAGAAAGAGAGAGGGCTTCAATGGGAACACGATTGGGGGCCCTTCTCTGCTCACCTCCTGTCAGCTTTGTAGAGGGAAAAAAAATGAAAGAAAAGGGTCAGAAAATTTAAACGATATATAATATTAATTTTTTTATAAAAAAAAATTGTGAAAAAATTGCAAAAAATAATACTAATAACCATAATACTGCAAATATGACAGTAACGAGTAAGTGGCAAAACAATTTTGTTATTTAACCGTCTAGCTCTCATTTGTGTTTCACCACGTCTCCCATCTTAAATCGGATTTGAACTTAGAACATCTACTACCCTCTCATTTGAGTTTTACCATTCATTTAGTGAAGGTGAAATTTAATTGGCTTGATATAGTTACATTATTCAATTTAAATTAATTGTTTTAATTTAATTAAAATAATTATAGGCATATAAATAATATACAAATGAATAATTCTACATGGTATTATTATTACCATTTTTATTATATTTGTTGATACTGCTAGGCAACTAGTCGGTTCATATTATGTTTGAAAGTTGATTACTGATAATTTGTTTATTATACCTCTAGACCAGGAGCCAGAAAATTGTTTCTAGAGGGGGTAAATTGTACACTAAATACTTATTTATTGTAATAATGTGTATACAAATAAATTATTGTTTATGGAGTATATATATTGGAAGAGACATGTGGATATATAGAGAGATTGATATTTGTGGAATGAGATAAATTAATAAATTACATATATACAAAATTAACTTTTTTTCAATTTTGTCAAAAGAGTTAACTTTATTTTTTTATAGGTTATGTCAAAAGAAATAATTTATTCAATAAAAATAACCTTTTTTTTTTCTTCTTTTTTTTTCCTATCAAAAGAGATAATATGTTTTTAATCATTTTCCTTTTGTACTTATTATTATTATTATTATTTTGGAATCCTAACAACAAATATAATTTATTCAATAATTATATTTTTTTGGGTGGTTGTTTTCTTCATCTCAAAAGAGATAATTTTTTCAATGGTTACTTTTATTTTTTTATCTGGCCAAAAGAGGCAATTTGTTCAATATAACAAAATTTTATTTTATTTTTGGTCCCTTAAAAAAAAAATTATTCAATTTTTATTTTATTTGTATTGTCAAAAGATACTTAAAATATTAAAAATTAGAGATAAGGAAATAAAATATGAAAAGGCAGTTGTGTTATTTAAAAAGTAATAATTATTTACTTATAAATGTAAGGTTACATTTTATTTAAGATTGTAGTGTAAATGTTAAAAAATAGAGTGCGAAAAGCACCTCTAGCTCTCTCTCTCTCTCTCCCTCAAGCCATATAATTTTTCTCAACAAATGTTAACTTGCTCCCACTTTATGTTAGTTGGCTCGTGCCTCCTATCTTATACTTCGTCCGTGCTATAGAGGCTTTTTTTTCTATTATTGCATAATGCGTAGCAGTGGGGATGGGTCATTTCCTATCAAACATTACTTACATATGAGAGGGAATAGTTGCTGCATTTTATAAAAGTGGATGTGCTTTTGATGCAATTTACAGTGATTCCATTAGAGTTCATCTTTTTCGAGGTTTTTGTCATAGAACATGGTGATCGATCACTGATTGAGGATCAAACACTCAAAATTGCTAGGACAAACTCTAATTCTCCGCTCCAAATCAACTAATTTTAAGAGTTTCACATATTTCACTATGCTTATCTATATATTGAGAACAACCCCTGAAGGTTCATTTTAATTGACTTAATGCTGCATTGGAATTAGGAAGGAAAGAAGAGGGGTGGAAGAAAAATAGAAAGGAAGGAACAAATGAAAGAAATGATATAAAAATAAAAAATAAAAAATAAAAAAGGGTAATAAGAATGATGACTTTTTTTCTTTTTTATTTTTTAATTTTTTTTTTTATTAACCTAGGGTGTCCGGAATGGTACGAATCCTTAACAACCCGACTAATTTCTGAACAACCCGACTAATTTATGAGGACCCGGGAGGGCACCTCCCACCTGGGGCGATAAATCACTGTAGATACAGCGGAGGCTAATCCCACGGGCTTACTAAGCTCCAAATCCAGCGAGTAAACAGCTAGACCATATCTGAAGTGGATGAAGGATGACTCTTTCACAAATTTTCATCCGCTCAAATATGGATAGAAGATAAGAGAGAAGACAAGTGAACCTATTATAGAAATTTTAAATTACTGCATCACCCTCAATAAATATTTAATAAATTCAGTAAATAAAGTAGGGATGGGTTTAATGGTAAAAATAACTTAAAATTTTATTTTTCCTTTTATCCTATAAATTAAATTAAATCTAACCGAATAAAAAGAGGGAAACACTTTATCTAATTTCTAGGGATGTCTGTCATCCCTTATTCTCTCTCTTTCATTTAATTTTTTTCCTTCATAGCGAACGGAGCATTAGGGTCAGGGACCGAGCCAAAAACTTCTTTGAGGGGCCACATTGTATAAATTAGTGTTTATGAAGTATAATGAGTGAGACATAAATGGACATATATAAAGATAATGATATTTTTAGAATGAAGTAAATTAATAAATTACATATATATATAGAATATAATGAAACAATTTAAGAAATTTTTTTTTTTTTTTTTTTTTTTTTGAGAAAACATAGTATACAAGAGAAGATAAATTTGAGGGGGGCATTTTTACACATTTCTAAAAAATATATACATATTATAGAAATATATATATATATATATGTGTGTGTGTGTGTGTGTGTGTGTGTGTGTATATATATATAAAAAATAAGGAAAAGGAAAAGGAAAAACTTCCAATACTGCCTGCGTCCTTTGCTTAGGGTTTGTTTGATTTTTTATTTATTTATTTATTTATTTTTATTTTTTCACGGCAAAAATGTTAGACTATAAGTTTACATGTGCAAAATTGAACTTCTTTCAAGAACAATGGAGAACAATCCAACTTTTAGACTGAGTAGAAAAAAATTTATTTGACATTAATTTGAGTTGATTTGAGAAAACAATTCAAAGTTCAAGTAAATTTACTTGAGGTTATTTTGATCGATAAATAATTCATCAGATTCATCTTGCAGGAGATTTGTGCTTGGATGACTAAGAGGTTTTACGTGGAGCATTCTTAGAGGTTTGTACTTTTATATATGCAAATTACAAAATGTTTACATTTTTTTTGTGTGGACTTGTTAATACGACAAGTCACAAGGTACGAAAAATTATTACATGATATTTGGTACCAATATGAAAACAAATACTCCGTATGTTAACTTTATGCTAACTTTATTTAATTTTTTACTTTCTTATTTGGGTAAACTACATAAAACCCTTTTTTTCTATCGGTGTTTTTCACTAAACCCCCCTTTTATATTTTTTTTTTGTCAAAAACCCTCCTCAATTATTAAAGGGGAGGTGATTTAACTAACTTCCGTTAACTAACCATTAAAGGGGGGTGATTTAATTCTCAAATATATATATATATATATATATATATAGCAAATAAATTTCAAGAAAAAAAACCTAAATTTGTATTGGAAAAAAAAAAATTAGGCATTATTTCTGGTAGTGCCCCTTTGATAAATCTATATAAAATGAAAATAAATAAAAACCAAATAAATGAATGCACAATATAATTTTCAAATATATATATATATATAGCAAATAAATTTCAAGAGAAAAAACCTAGATTTATATTGGGAAAAAAACCATTGCAACAACATGTACTCTTCTTCTTGTTCAACTTTTTTTTATTAACCCATCATTATAATATTATATATAAATTGTATCATAATATAATGATACATATAATATGTATCATTAAATATTATTTAAATATATTTTCAGACCAATATAAATCTAGGTTTCTTTTTTTTTTTTTTTTCAGGAAAAAAATCTAGGTTTTTTTTTTTTTTTTCTTGAAATTTATTTGCTATATATATATATATATATATATATATATATATATATATTTGAGAATAATATTGTGCATTCATTTATTTGGTTTTTATTGATTTTCATTTTATATATATTTATTAAAGGGATACTACGAGAAATAATGCTTAATTTTTTTTTCCAATATAAATTTAGGTTTTTTTTTCTTGAAATTTATTTGCTATATATATATATATATATATATGAGAATTAAATCACCCCCTCTAATAATTAGTTAACGAAAGTTAATTAAATCACCCCCCCCCCCTAATAGTTGAGAGGGGTTTTTTGACAAAAAAAAAAAAAAAGAAAGAAAATAAGGGTTTAGTGAAAAACAAAGATAGAAAAGGGGGGTTTAATGTAGTTCACCTTCTTATTTTATTCTTCCAACTTTGAGGTTTGAGACTACTAATCAAATTATGCATAGCTTTACTTAAAAAAAAAAAAATAGTAATATGATATATTATTTAGGAAAAAGCTTGCCATAGGCCAGCATAAGTAGAACACTTATTCTTATATTGATATGGACCAATAACATGTCATGTGTTAAAAAAATTTAAAAATTATATATGAATTATTCGGATCTTTTCACGGGTTATCCAAAGAGGAAGACGATTTTATCTCACACCTATGTGAGACGTGGTAGAGAGCTCTCCCTCTCTTTTAACTGCTTGCCGGTCTCCACTGCTTGCACCCTCCTCCATTTTCAAACCCTAATCTTTTACATCCAATCTTTAAAAAAGATTCAAGCCGCCACATTCGTTGCCTGCCATCTCTGTTGTAACATAAATACGCATAACTTGTGGCATCCAAAAATTTGAGATTTATTACTACCTGTAAGCCAAATTGATTTCATTAAACTCCATTACAATTGGAGTCTTACAATTATAGTTAATTTATCATGTTTGGACTACTTGTTTAGTTCTTCTGTTGCAGATTACACTATGAAGGGTTTAGAATAGAAAATCTCAAAACGCAAGAAGGAAAAAAAACTTTCCTTGTGGATGATCCGCAAAAAGATCCAAACAATTTTTATTAATTATTTTAAAAGTTTTTTTTGACACATGTCATATTTTTATTAATTCATATCAGCATCATAAGGACATTTCTATTTATGGGGTATGAGGCAAGTATTGTTCTATTATTTATTATATTACACAATAATGTATATAATTTATAATTGCTATTGGGCATAAGAAACTAAAGTTATTGGGTTTAAACGAACTAAAGCCCCAATGAGACTAATTGGAGGCCATGTTTGGGTTAATTCACTTTAAACTTTTGGAGGGGCCCATGGGCCCATGGCCCATATGCATTTAAGACTTTTTCCCATTGGGCATATACCCCTGTGAACAAAACTGGGCCAGCCCAATGGGTCAGAAGTCGACGACTACATAGGAGGACAATTCCGTAAATTTGAACCGAAGTAGGGTTTTAGGTTTCACAACAATATACATATTTGGTTTCTCTTATAAAGTCGCAAACTCTGTCTTTCGTCTTAATTCCTTCGCACGCGGCAACTACTGTGAGTTCCGGCAATCTCATCATCGAAGGTACTTCTCTCTCTACAATCCACTTTCTCTCTCTAGAATCATCTGTCTTCATAGTTGGATTTGCAAGGAACTGTGTTATTTGATTAAGCTGTGGTAAAGATCTGGATCGGTCGTCTTTTTACAAACGCATATTCACACATATATATATATGTATATATATCTATTTCCATAGATATTCGTTATTTTATTTCTAATTTTGTTCTTTTGCCTTTCAACACCAGGTTCAAGAGAGAGTATTTGAGTAACAAGAAGGAAAATGTCTGGGTATGTGTTATAACTTTAGCAGTATTCACTGAGTTTAATGTATCTACTTTTCAGGTTTCGATTTATTGCTTTTCTGTAACCAAAAATAAAAAATGGCGGGAATTATTTACTTTATTTTGAGTAATTGTGGATTTTAATTTTACAGAACAAGTAATTAGTAGATTTTCGAAGGCCATTTTTGTGTGATCCTAATAACAAGCTACATTTTTTTGGAAATTTGTTTTGGATGAGTATGCCAACAGGCTTAGTTAGGGATAGTATTTTGTACTTTTTATTCAGAAGCCATATGGGGTTTATATATATGATTACTTTGTTGGTTTAAATGATTCTGCAATTTAATTAAATAAATTGGTTAGTTTTCATAATTAGCATTTGATGAAGCGGATTCTACTTGGTTGGAAATATTATGTGGTAGATAACTGGAACATGTTTCCTACTATAGTAGGATGTGCAAGAACTTGTTGCACCATATTGCCCCTGGTTGTGAATCTTAGAGAGTTACATTAACCATTTTGGACCTGATATTAATATTTTTCTTTCTGTTCATATTTTTTTGCTTCCTAACCGTATTTACTCACTCTTTAGGGAATTGTAAGAGCAGGAAATTTGGTGATTTCATAAGCCAATGATTTTTGCTTGGGTGGGATTAGGCGTTGCTAACTAAATAATTTTCTTTTTTTAATAATTGGTAACTATGTGTTCATGGTATGAAGTACATTTCAAGTACTTGTTCATGGTATGAAGTACATTTCAAGCACTTGTTTAGGCCGTTAATTGTTGCCCTGATATTGTAGTTCCTTCCTACCATATTTTTTTCATCTACTCCCTTCTGGTGTTCCTGCCTCTCATAGTCTTGTTGTCTATGTGGAGAGAGGTACTCTCATTTATCTCTTTCATAAATATATTAATTGGTTCCAATGTATTGCTTTTGCAGGGAAGAGGTTGCAGCTGAGGCACCTGCTGCTCCAGCTCCAGCTCTAGGAGAGCCTATGGACATCATGACAGCTTTGCAGCTGGTGCTGAGGAAATCACTGGCTCACAGTGGACTTGCTCGTGGACTTCATGAAGGTGCTAAGGTGATTGAGAAGCACGCTGCTCAGCTTTGTGTTTTGGCAGAGGACTGTAACCAGCCAGATTATGTTAAGTTGGTCAAAGCACTTTGTGCTGACCACAATGTAAACTTGATAACAGTTCCAAATGCAAAGACCCTTGGCGAGTGGGCTGGTGTAAGTAAAATATATCCAAAATTAACTAATTGTTTAGTATTTGCTCTTTTCTTAATTGTTTGCCTAAGGTTGTACAATTATTGACAGTCTACTGATTCTTTACACACACACACTTAAAGAAAGAAGTCTATCTTTTTAGTTTTTTGTTGAGATTAAGTCTCCCTTTCTCTCCCCCCCACCCCCCCCTCTCTCTCTCATAAGTTTGATGGCTGATGCTTTCCTAAATATGCTTTTCTATGTACAGTGTACTAAACAGCAGTAAGAATCAAACCTTTAATGTCAACAACTGTAGTGCAGCGGCTTTGGTGGTTTTCTTTGATTTTCATAATATTAAGAACTATAATCTGTTTATATTTATGTGCATTTGCCGTGCTACTAAATCACTTGTTGCTAGTTTATAGAAGCATATATAATCAAATAAATATCAATAAGGTGAAGGAATTGTTGCAAACTTGATGATAATGTTGAATTATTTTCTATTGTTGTTAGATTATATATATTTCCTAATATAGTATCCGGGTACATTTTTTCCTGCTTCAAGTCTTAATTTTTTTTTTGGGAAAATAAAGACCTAGTGAAACAAACTCTTTGTTGTCACTTCCATTTTTTCTTATTTATTGAGTAGCCTTTTAGTCATAGTTTCAAAACACTCTTGCTTACTTTAAATCTTTAAGTTGAATGTTGACTAGGTTACTTGTACAGTCACACATTAATAACGTGACCTAGTAGTTTTCAAGGACATATTATATTTTTAACCTCTTCATGCTGTTGTTTTATCTTGAATTCCACATAAAGTAAAGGTCATCATGGTGGTCTTCTCTAATAAGATTTGAGCTTTATAATCACATTTGTCCACGAGAATTATAATCCTCTTCCCAATCATCTTCCGGTTATGTTAATTTGGTGAACTAAAAATCCATATCAAGTTGTCAACTCTATTTTAAGTGCTATTTGTGGGCTTCCTATGCAGTTGTGCAAGATTGATTCTGAGGGGAAGGCAAGGAAGGTTGTGGGTTGCTCATGTGTTGTTGTAAAGGTATCAACCTAGAAGAACAATTCTCCTTTATGTTTCTGATATACCTTTTAATGGGGAAGATAACATATATGGGCTCACATTGCAGGATTATGGAGAAGAAACTGAAGGTCTCCATATCGTTCAGGAATATGTCAAGTCTCACTGATTGAGTTGGCAATGGATCAATCAATATAATTGTGCCTGGTTTGGAGTTTATCTGCAAAATCCACTCTTAGTTTGTTTGAGCCACCCTTCTGGAAATTTTTGATTGTTCGGGAACCAATATTCTAGAAATAGCATCTTAATTATTGCAGATTTTCAGTTATTTGTTATTTCTGGTTATGGTTACCTAATGTTGCTCACAATGCATTAAAATATTTAATGTTTGTTGGAACCTGATTTTTGATTTATTGTTTTTCAGTAGTGGTTTCATGATAGAAGAAAATTTCATGTCTTCGATAATTGAATTAAACTTGTGCTTAAAGATTGAATCTGAGTTAATGCTCCTTTGACATGAAGAATGGGAGAAAGGGAATGAGAGGTTTATCTAGAGGAGGGGGAATCTCTTACTAGGTTGGTTGAGTAGTGATTTGATTTTGGAACTAAAGGAGAACATACATGTAATATTTATTTATATACACAGATATGTATCTACATATATGTATATATATATACACATACATAACAATTTATGTGTTGCAATGAAAATTTGTTTTATATATTAAGGGCAAAAAGCTTTAAAGGAGATAGAGAGTTTGAACTTCCTTTTCTTTGTCCATTCTTGTACTAGAGACAACCCTGCTCTGCCTTTTCCTCTCTTTCCTGCCTCTCCCTTCCCTAATTCCTTTCATAGCCCTTCATTTCTCCACAAATTTGACAGTATTACTTTAATCATAGAAGCTGAAAATTGTCTATGAAAATTTTCTTGTGTGTTTGTTCTAGGATAAAATGCCTCTAGTACAGGTGGTGATATGCTCTCTCTAGCTTAGTGTAGAGTAGCACATCCATCATGTTTCTACTTCCAACAATATTGAAGCATTGCGGATGTTGTTACTGTTAATGAATATTAGAAGGGCACTTATTGTTTCTCCTCCCTAATTGATATAGTATATGTAAGATCAATTTTGATTTAATTAGTAGGAACTGCCAAAGTAGTTCATTGTCTAAATTGTATTCCTTTTAGCTTGATGGTGTGCTGTGGTCTCCTTTGTTACTGTTTTCCCACGTTTTCCCATGTTCAATTCATTTTTGCGGATGCTTGATTTATCTCACTCATTAGCTTCATGGTATTTTGTAATTTCCCTTTGATTTATCTCACTCATTAGCTTAATGGTACATAGTAATTTCCCTTTGATATCGATCTTGTTTAAGATGCATCTCAAAGGGGTCACAATCAAGTCTCAAACCAAACTTTTTCCACACTAGCTAAAACAAAGCCTCAAACCATACCACCATACATGCAGCATATACAATGGTCTAGGTGCCCAAGTTTATAGAGAGAGTCTGATTTGGTTTAGAACTAGTAGAAAGTCTAAACAGATTCCGCTCTCCCTATGAAACAATGTCCCATTAAGGCCTATTTTTTGGTTGGGTTGAAAGCCAATACCGGCCATGACTGCCTTTTCTAAGTCTTCACAGGACTGCTTGGTTTAGTATCATTTTCATCACTGTACACCAAGTTTGTGGCGTGTCCTATGTGCCACCCACCCTTGAGGTTTGTGAAGGGGGTGGGATGAGTGTTGAAAATCACCAAAATTATGAAAATGATACTGAACCAAGCCACCACCAGCTACCATGAACTGGTCGGAACCCATGCATAGTGCACCCAAGAGTTATCCTCATGTTGGATGTGGAAGGGATGGGGGAACCCATGCATAGTGCACCCAAGAGTTATCCTCATGTTGGATGTGGAAGGGATTGGGGTAGAGTCATCAACAATGCTGAGTAATGAGCTTGTAGGCATGAACATATAGCATCAATCATGAGCTTGTAGGCATGAACATATAGCATCAATCATAAGCTTGTAGGCACAAAGAATTGGACCCATAACCTTACTCTTTCGAAGTTTGAAGTTTCTGATACATATAGCATCAATCATAAGCTTGTAGGCACAAAGAATTGGATACATAACCTCACTCTTTCAAAGTTTGAAGTTTTCCATATTACTCCTCCCGTGACTCGTTACCAGGAAGTGTTATTAGGTGAGATCTAGCAAATTGTACAATTTATTTATTTTATTGGGGATCAAAGTAAATCAACCAAGACAGGAATGAGATCATTTCTGTTTAAAACAATTGAAAATATAAGTGGTGTGGTAAGAAAAATCTCCAAACAAGTTGTGAAGTTAATAGAATAATTTCTTTGAGAAACAAAATTGACAAAATATTTTAGTATTGAAGTATAAATCAAAGTAGATTTTCACTCAGCAGATGGCGCATGTCCAGAAACACTCACTGATATGCTGTAATACTTATAACTCAGAACCCAAAATGACCCTGAAATGTCAACTTTTTTGTTATACTTCTAACGATCAATTAGCGATTATGTTTTACCGCAATAAGAAGTTTTTAACCCCAATTATGATGAAACCCACAGAATGAATGGCAAGAAGAGGCATCTCACAGGCAACTTGCACCTGTTTTAAATGGAAACATGTTTGTTTCAATGAAATCCTTATCACGAAAGTACACAATAATTGTGTAGAGAGCCAAACCAAATATAGGAATGATCAGCAAATAAATTTGTGAAATAGCCATTTCAAACCAAATATAGGAATAATCAGCTAATAAAATTGTGAAATAGCCATTTTCTCCCCCTTGTATTGTATAACAACTACCGGCTCCTTGGCAGCATGAGTATTTTAAGCAGGACATTGTTGAGATCTAGCAAACCCTCAGTCATAAGGGGAAGAAATCTCAGCATTCAATAAAATCTAAACATGCATAAGAGTATTTTTGAAATCTTTGTTCGTAAATGTAGGGGCTATAGGATCTTTCATCTGTAAAGCTTCAATTCATAAGCTGTTTAGAGCATGAGCCAGGGCTCTAATCTGAATATAGTTGCAGCATATTGAAATCTAGATAGGTAACTTTATAGTATAAAATCATTATAGACTACTAAATGAGTCAGAGCTTGAACATTTGTAACAAATAAGTCAAGAAAAGATGATTAGCCTGTCACTATGTCGAAAATTCAATATTCATTTTGCTGAAGAATGCTTAGATTCTTAGCATATTAGAACTAGTACAATGAAGTTCACCAGCACCAACCATCAACGTAGTGGAAAAACATATGCACTAGTTTTCATGGATCACAAGATCTTGTCAACTCTTACTTGCTTCCAGCAATTGGGAGGTACACACCCTCTGCCGCCAACCAAACATTATCAGCACGCTTGTCACGGACACCACAAACCTGCAGAATGTACAGGAAATTTGTGACATTGACAAACCAAACATACGAACATGGGAAAATTGATTCAAAATATCTTCCTTCTGAAAACACCAAGGACAACATAATTTCATTGAAAAGAATAATGGTTACTATTAGTCGTCCAAAAATCAATTATTGAAAAAATAATCATGAATTTGTATTGGGTATTATGACATTCGCATTTCATTTTTGTCAGTTTGTGAAACTTTCGGGGTGTCAACTCCATAGTTGCACGCATGATTGTCTACCCGTCCACCTAATGCTTGACTCAGGCTTTATGAGATTCAGAAAGCACAAATTGATTCTCCAATCTCATAAATTTGATCATCACATCTGGACTTCATCCAAATACGAAGTCATTATTGCATCAATTATTGTCCACTATAACAAGAATAAAATATGAAGAATGTGACCAGAAGGCATATTCTACTATTATTAGTTCATAATCCTAAAAATGCATCTTTTAAGCACCAAATGATTGAAATAATAAGTAAATTAGACTAAAGATTTAGACTTTTACCTCTTGCTGACCTCCGGCAATACGAGTATATTTCTTGTCATGACTGTGTAGGTAACCACCAGTGTCGACATGACGAAGCCTGATTCTTTGATCTTGCCTCCAATTTTTTCCACTACCCTCAATTTCAAGCCTAAGAAAGGGGGCACAGGAAAAAATATCAGCCATCTGAATCACCAAGATTTATGAATTCAGAAAGAATTGAAAGTACATCTCACCTCCAATAATCTCCAGTATCTGATTCACCTTCCCCTCCAAAGCAACTCACCTATAAATATCTTATACAGGTTAGTTTCAGTCTCCAAAGCTGAATTTTTTTGAAGAAGGCATGCAGTGGAAAAAGAAAAAGAAATATGTAAAAAAAACATTTTCTAGCATGTGTTTACAAACACATGGCCGATTCAGTGTACTCTCCAGTTTAAATAGGGCGAAACAAAGTAGTAATTTTAGGGGAAAAATGGTTAGAAATTTAAATTTCCTATACAGGTATGAGTGTCATGTCTTGTATCCGACTGGTAAAGGATCTGCAAGTGTGTCCAAATGTGTAAGCATGTACTACTGTAGTTGCACTTGGCAACACAAGATGGTTACTGCTTCTTGTAACAATAACAAGTTCTTTTCTTCAAAAAGAGAATAAGTGGCTTTCCTATATCTTTGTTAAACCACTGTTTTCGTAACATTGGTAGGAGAAACACACATCTCAAAATTATGCAGTACCATGAAGGGTGCACATGTTACTTGCCTCCTTGCATTTTTTTTTTTTTTTTTTCTAGATATTTTTAATTATTTTTCAAAATTCCACTGACATCTATTCAGTTCTCTCTCTCCATCATAATCTTTCAGACTGCCAGTAATAACATTTTGTATGCACTCTGATCAGATCAAAACTACCATAGTGGAACTGTAAATAAGACAATGCATGTATCATTCATATCAATCCTTCCTTGTTTTTTTTCCCTGCAGAATCATTCGTATCAATCTTTTCCTAAAGACTGAAAAACATAATGTTCCATATGGTTGTTCAATAGATGGAGCAAAGGGAGTTGTTGCGCAGTCTCATAGTAACGATCAGCTTCATCATGGTTAGCAACAAGGATCCAAAATTTCTTGTCCCCATTGCATCTTCACATCTTCTAAGAATCCAACTAAAAAGGCTAGACGACAAGGGTTCTTTTTTCTTTTCATTTTTTTTTTTTTGCTGAGAGTTAGGGTAACAAAGATAAAGAAGAAAACAACCATACAACCCACTATATCTGTTCACTCAAATTGTGTAACATAGAACACAGTAAGACCAGCTGTGTACAATTGTAGAAAAGAGTGAAGATAATATATTGCCACAAAAAAAAATAAAAAATAAAAAAAAATAAAATTCAAAACTTGATATATTGAAGTGGACATCTGTAACAAGGGTCATTCAAAATGACCCTTGTTACAACATCCATCATAGTGTTGCAAGATAGATGTATTTCAATAGAAGAAAGAAAGTTTTACACTATACACCAACCTAACTTTCTCAATCATGATGTTTACGCAACCAAGAGACCACAAGTTAATTATGTATAGCTAACAAGGATTAGCTTGACCCAAGACACCCAAGTGCAATCAGAAAGACAATTAAATTGAGCAGGTTAATAAATCTAAAATTCACAAAGTAAAATCCGAGATATGCTTTTACAGCACCATTTCTGCGGAAAAAAAGCTACTACCAGAAGTTGAAAGCTTGACCGGTTGGATTCTTAGCCAAGTGTAAGGACTAGGAACTGACAAACAGGAACCATTAGATTCTAAATAATCCCACACTAACAAAATAGGTAGTTGCAAATGTAGTAAAAAGGTCACCAAAGAAAAATAGAAATCAAATATATACCCTAATGGCTAGGGATCCATGCACCAAAATAAAAAAGCTGGAATTGCATAAATGATGGTTACGTTCACACACACGGGTTGAACTAATAGAAATTGCGGAGCATAACAACCAGTCTGTAGACTGTAATAGTATTGTCCAAAGTATCGTTGAAGGCTGATACAATGTCTGGTCAAAGGCTACAAGCCTACAGCCACAATGGCTGTAACAGCTGTGATAATAAAATCCCATTCCCCATTTTCTTTCATTTTATTTTCACAAAGCCAGCTTTCATTCTCTTAAGAAACTATATAATCCATAGTATACTCTCCGAAACTTACAATACAGACATTATAAGTCTATATGTCAAGTCAAGAGCTAGAGCCTAGAGACATTTCATTCAACTATCGATTTCATAGGCATAAATTTCATTAGAAGTTTAGAACAATGAAGCAAAAGAATAATAATAATAATAATAATAATAATAATAATAACAACAAAATGGAATAAAAATAATCAAGACTAATTTATCAGCTAATTAACGTTTTGTAAATCCAAACTTGCTAACCTCCAAGTTGCCTGAAATCGGGGATGCATGCAAGTGGCTATGCAGCCATTTACGAGTCCTCATATGTTGCAACCTAAGTACCGTTCCACTTTTAATAGTGTCCCCTTGTGTTGCAGAGGAATCTAGCACAGGCCTAACGATCTGTCAAAAGAAAAATTCAGTCTAAATTGTAGATTCAATCCAATTTTTATAGTTGTGATCAAATATTTTAGTTGATTCAACAATAATTTTTTATTTTTTATTTTTTGAAAAGAAGATCAAAGATAAACATCGGATATACCCAGTAGCTATTGGCATCATCAACATTAGGGAAACCAGTAACCGACTGCTGACCACTGCCGGACCCATATGGCACATCGTGAGAATGCAACCTAAATCTGGTCCTTTCATGCATCAGCTTAATGACTGACCCATAAGTAATCTGCAATATATGAAAAGTCCAAAGATAATAAGAACGAGATTTCAAAAAATTCAACCACTAAAACTTTTAACAAGTAAGCTATATTTGAAGTCCTGCACTTAAAAATTTGAGAGGGATTAGAGTGAACCGCAGGATGTTTTCCTCTATTTGGAGTAAGTTACCCTTTATAATAATAACATTTTTTTTTTTTTTTTTTTGGAATAAGTACATGTTAAGAGAATGTTACCCAAGTACTGATATGTGCACAAATTAAGAACCCAAAAATAAATAAATAAAATCTCAGAAATATTAAAAATAAGTCAACAGACTGAATAGGCAAACAATCAGATCTCAAAAATAATCAAATGAGATACGGCTCAAACAGGTAATCGTAGTAGGAGCGAAACAAGGCAAACGCCCACAAATCTCCAAAAGTAGAGCGATTAAAATTCAAAATAAAATGGTAAATTTATGAACAATCATCAAATAATCTGGCTAGACATATAATTTACACATACAAATCTATAACAAACACACAGTAGTTAAGTTAATTACCTCTACACCTTCAGAAGGAGCAGCGTAGACAGGAGAGGAGGTGTAATCGGAGTCGAGAGTGAGGAAGAGAAAGATAGCGAGGGCGAAGAAAGAGAAAGCCATGAAGAGGAGGAGCACTATGAACCAGGTCCGTTGCCAGAAGGGAAGGTTCAGATCCGATTCGGACGACGAGCTCAAAGCTTCTCTATAGACAATTCGAGTCGGACCCGAAATTAGGGTTTGATGTGACGACGACGAAGAAGAAGATGAAGAATGGGGTTTCCTTCGAGAGAGGCTCTGTTGGTGTTGCCCTGACGGAGCCACGATTGGTGGTGCCGGATATCCGGCGAAATCGTTCGAGTCTGGGAGATTGTGCGACGTCCGATCTGATCTCCGATATTAGGGTTTTATTTCACTGATTTGTTGATCTAGTAGTTTGATCATTAATGAGCCTTATTACCAGTATCATACGATTTGGTGGAAAATTGGAGAAGGGTCAATGCCACGTAGATGTAGAAGTCTGAACAAATGAAATTGTCCCACGTGGAATTTTGGTGACGTGGATAGTTCCAATTGGTTGTACCCAGATCTTTCTGGGTGTTGCAACGTGTCCCGTTTCCGTATGAGCAAGTCAGCTTTTTTTCTCGCTTAAACGTGAGCTCAGGGCAGCTCTAGAAATTAGATTGGGTCTAAACTTTCCAAAAATTTGATAGAGAAAAATATCTTTGGACTACCTCAAACTTAAAATAAATTTTTATTTCTAAATATTATCTGTGAAAATAAATTTCTAAATATAAAAATTTAGACTTTCTAAATATTATCTAAGAAAATAAAAATAAAATTTTTAAATTTCTAAATATTTTCAATATTAAAAAGACTAAGAATAGATCATGTAAAAATAAAAAAGATTTTATAAATTGTAACTTATATAAATTGGAAAGTTATTGATTATATATCACTTAATTTTATCAAAATGGTGACGTGGATATATATATTTTTTATTGGATGATAGAAATATTGATAGAGATAAATATTTGGAAATGATTAATTTGTTATTTTAACTTATATTAGAATGTATTCTTGGACTATTTTGAGAATTGTAACTCACATTACAGTTTTTAAAATAGGAAGTAGGAAAATCATTTTGAGACGAGGTAGTAGTACATATACAAAATAAATAATGATAATATTTCAGTCACCCATCTGTTTGACACTTAAAATTTAGGAAGAATTGATGAAATGTTTTTTTCTAATTGTATAGGACATAAAGGTTATGGGTTTGAGTACCGTGTATCAATCTTACATTATATGCATTATTTAAATTATGGGTGCGACTCAAAAGTAAAATTTCAATAACTTATGATTTGTCAACACCGCTGTGTCCTAAACAGTATATTCTTGATGGATAAGTAGCAGTTGATTTGCGTCTGACTTAGGTTCTCATGGTCAGCTTGCACATTCGTCTACTATGTCTATTAGATTCACTATACTGCTTTAGAATCCCTGCAGACATTTGCTTCGATATAATCGTATTCTGTCTGATAAAGTTTGTCTGGGGTTACGAAACAAATTTACATTGACTATGTGTCTTCTTCTTGTCTGTTCAATTGTCTAAGCTATGCAAGTTAAATAATAATAATAATAATAATAATAGTTGCAAGGGAGAAAGAAAATAACACGGTTTATATAAGAAAAGAAACTTATCACTTCAAACTTATCGGAAAAAAATTAGGATAAATTATACTCAGACATCTAAGATTAAGTCATTTTTGAAAATTTTGGTTTTAAATTTCACTTATATTTGAATTAGTGGTTTAACATTTCACTGTCAATTTTTAATGGGGCCGTAATACTTAGGAGATATTAAATGACTATGTTACCCTTTGACCTCCCATTGACTATTTTTCTTACCAAACTACTCCTATCATACAACTTCATCTTCTTCCTCCTCCGCGTACCATCATCATACCCAATTCACGTCCGAGGATCTCCTTCCTGTCATTGTTTTCTTGCATTGTGGCAGATTCACCTACCTTAGTGCCAAAACCAAGGTCCACGACGTCATTTGCCGTTGCAAGGTCCCACCCGTTGTTGTCTCTGTCAACTACCGCCTCGCCGTGAAGACAAATTTGATGACGATACACATCCACCCAGAAAGGAGACAAGCCGGCAAAATCTTAGGCGATTGTTCAATTAATTAATCTGCCAAAGATATAAAAATATGTTATTATCAATTTCCACAATAATCCATCAAAACCCAAAAAGAATGGACACGGGTGTATATTATATATATATATATATATATATATATATATACACTGAGGGCCTTTTTGTCATTTATGATTATATATATTTTGTATTAAAAAATTGAGGTTAAAATAGTCAATTTTCATGTGTCAGAGGCTAAAAAGTAAATTGGGATGTAAGTGAAAGTTAAAACCAAAATCTTCATCTACCTGAAATATGACCTAACCTCAGGGGATGTCGGTGTAATTTACCCAAAAAATTATCACTTCAACAAAGAAAGAAAATAATATTTCTTTTATATTTATCACTTTACCATTTTATATTTAGAACACAAATATATAAGTAAGAAGATAAATATATAGGTAAGAACAAAATGAAAATTTAAAAATAAAGAAAGGGTTAAGATTAATCACAACAAGCTTATGACTTGTAGATATTTTAATTTTGTATTTGATAAAATAAGGCAAAAATCTGTATTAATTTTTTAAAATTAATCTTTATAACTCTTTCTTTTCATTTTTATTTTTTAATAATAAAATCCTATATTATATCCATCCATATTCTCCCATTTCCTTTCTGTTTGTTTAATGAATTTTATTTATTATTATTTTTTTCTTTTCCTGTTTAATGATTCATACATTCCTTTCTTTTCTTTCTATTTCTATATAATTAAATTGGGTCAGTTCCGTTTGGATACACATAAGAAAAAATAAAGGAGATGGTAGTATTAGTTATGAGATAAAATAAAATAAAGGAAATGATATCAATAATCTCTATTTATGTTTGGATGTATATGAGAAAAAATAAGCAAAATGATAGTATGATATGATAGGAGAAAAATGAAAATAACGGATAATGACCAAATTACTATCATGCTTTTTAAAATAGATAAGACATGAGTGTAATAATAATTCGATCCTTTTAATTATTGAGTGCAGTTTCGAAATTATGAAACTACTACTTAAACACTATTATTTGTTTTCCTATCTTCTCATTTTTTTGAGAGATATGATATGAAGGATAAAAAAGAATGTCTATCTCTCCCTATCCTATATTTTCCTTCATTTTAAATAACCCAAAAACAATCTACACTATCTTTTCTTTTCTCTCGGATTTGGAAAGATAGGGAGAAAAAAGAAAAGAAAGATAATGAAAGTGTGTTTGGTTAGTTAAAAATGAAAGAAAAGAAAGTATATGTCTCAATAGGGAAGGATATATCTCAAAAAATGATAAGATAAGGAGAAAAATAATAGTGTTTAAATATTATTTTCATAATTTCAAATTTGCTCTCAACAATTAAAAGGAATTACCTTCACCTTTCGGGGAAAAAAAAAAAAAAAAAAAATTCAATAGAAGAAATTATTATTCCACTTATATTCCATCTATTTAAAAGGATATGATAGTAATGCTACGTTTGGTGTGCAGGAATGGAATGGAATGGAATGCCCATTCCAACCTTTCATTTGTTTGGTATGCAACTTAAAGTGGGAATGGCCATTCCATTGGAATGAAAATCCATTCCACAACTAAACCTATGGAATGGCCATTCCATTTCTAAGTAATTTATTTTAAAAAATCGACTTCCCAAAACACCCTCATATTCCAAGTCCAAAAACCACCATTACCTTCCATCACAAACATCTTCGCCTTTCACCACCACCACCACCACTACCACTGCCTTCCACCACCACCGACTTTCACCATCGCCCACCACTTTCCACCACCACCACTGCCACCGCCTTTCGCCACCGCTACCGCCACCGTTTGCCACAACCACCACCGCTGCCTTTCACCACCGCCACCGTCTTCCATCACCACCACTGCCATTGCTTTTCACTACCTTCCACCACCACCGCCGCCATCACCTTTCACCACCTTCCACCACCACCGCTGCCATCACTGCTACTGCTTTTCAATACCACCACAACCTTCTACCACCGTTACCGCCACAACGCTACACCACCACCGCCGCCTTCCACCACCGCCACCGCCACCTTTCACCACCACCACCACCACCACCTCTGCCGCCTTCCACAACCACCAACGCCGCCGCCATCGCTTTCCACCACCATCTTCGCCTTCTACCACCTTTTATCACCACCACCACCTTCCACCACTGCCACCGCCACCGCTACCACTACCACCACCGCCGCCGCCGCCTTCCACCACCATCATTATCGTTAATTTAATTTAATTTATTTGTTACTAAGAGAGATATTTTGGAGAATTCAATTAAAATTTTATTCCATTCTAAATTTTAAATTAGTCCAACCAAACACTTGAATGGTTATTATTATTCAATTCCTACATATTTCATATTTACACCCAAACAATAGAATGAGAATGACCATTCCATTCCATTACCATTCTCATTCCATTCCATTCCATTCCTGCACACCAAACGTAGCATAATTATTTGGATACGGAGGAGAGAAAAGAAATTAAAGGATAATATTAGGTACGAAAGAAATGAAAGGAAATGAAAGAATAACAATAATTACATTCATAGTTGGATAAATAAGAGAGAAAAGAAAGAAGCTATTAATATTCTTGTTTGAATAAGACAGAGGAAATAATATAAAAGAAATGATAGCAATCCAATTATTGTCAATAATTTTGGAGGTGATTAAATGTAATAATTTTAGAGACTAAATTTTGCATTATGAAAATATCACTAACTCATTTTTGTTTCTTTTCTTTTTAAATCCTCCCATCCAAACACAAAATTTCTTATCCTTTTCATTCTTTTCTTTTCCAATCCCCCAAATCCACCCATCCAAACGAGGCCTAAGGTTTTAAGAGTGGATTTGAGTGAAACGAGAGTTTTGTAGATCACTATCCTTGCGTTAAACTTGATAGTTGGGGTTTAAAGCTGGGAAGAAACGGTTTATTCTTCTCCGGTGAAGGAGCTCAAAGATGTTTGGAATATGCTCCAAATGCCCACATCTTACATTGATTGATTGACTCCTCTACGTTCGTGTTTTAAAGGTCCACTTTCTCTTCATTTATAATCTCTATTATATGGAACACCAATCCACATACACATATTCCAACGGCTTGGAAGAGGCTTCTTGAATCTATGCTATATATAAATGGTGTATGCTGATTTAATCTTTCCAATTGTCTGTCATAGGTAAAAGTTATAGTTTTCCCAATTGCTTATCGAGAAAATCACGTAGTTTAAATGGGTTGAAGATTGTATGTAGAGTCAATACGGTTCTTGCAAGTTTTTATTTTTATTTATTTTTTTGATCAGGTAAGTATTCACATGCACATTTTGCCCACGCTCAGGTTAGAATCCCTCATATTTGAGAATGGAGAGGTTATACAATTGGGCTAGAGGCCTTTAGGTGTTTCTGCGACTCTTTCATTGTTACTGCCACATAACACATTGTTTTTATTTTAATTTTTTTGGGATAATTGATATGTGTTGGTTGATTTTTTTTTTTTTTTTTTGTTTTGGAAATAAAACATTCATATGTCGAAAGTAATTGCAACCTGTACCCTTCATGCAAAAAAACCACCTATAATATGAAAATATTTCAAACAATCCCCTCTGCATCCATTATTATGAAGTGTAAAAAGAATTTTTCTTACATGAATATTGTACATACGAAGCCCTTGCAATATAGATATTGTGCATGTGTATATAACCCCCTCATTTGGTGAAAGGGTAGCTCTGTAAAATTTGTACTGGCATGTTATTTTTTGCACATTTTGAGTATTACAAGAGGTTTCTTGGATTATAAGGAAGTTATATGCATAATATCCAATTCCAAGTATTTTTATTTTTTTTATCTACACTTGAATTAGTAGTGGTAGGGTGAAGTCATTAGTGAGATTTGGTTTTATATTTTTACTCCTCCTCATTATTAATGCTGTATCATGTATGCATTGATGATTGCTTGTAAATGACTTCAAGTTGATGGTTGCTAGTGTATATGGATTATCTTATACAATCGCTTATTGTTAATATTTGGTACCGTAAATGGATTTATGCTTACTGTTGAATGCACCTTGTGTTGTATGTGGGCTGATTTTTGTTAGTGTTATTTAGTTTTCTGTCCGAATTTCTTATTGTTACTATTTGGTACACGTATCTAATTTATGTACTGTCTAATATTTAAGATAGCAAATGATAAAATGCAAAGATCCTTTCAATAGCATTTGGTGCTAAATGTACGATAGGAAGTTATTCCACATCTAATGGGAAGCCAACAAGCATTTTTGTCAAGACTTTTTTGTTTTTTCTTCAATAAAACGGTGACACCTAAATGTAGTTAAATTTTATTATTATATGCATGTAGTATACAAAAGTTATTTTCATTGCCATTTTCATTTTTACTTTATGAAAAATTTGATTCGTAAGAATCTAGTTGGAACAAAAATTGTTAAACATGAAAAGAAAAAAAATGCTTGAGTTTGTAAACATAGATATTGGCAATAACATATTGCAATATATTAATATATCAACATTGTAGACTGATACATATATTAATATGTCAATTATTTTTGTAAGTTTAAATTGATGTTAAATTTATTTCTACACGTGGATATGGTGTACATAATATATCTATCGAGATAAGAGAATAGATTCCATGATACCAATTGGTAAGATCCAGATTCTCTCTCGTACACAAACATGTCGAGGGCAGATGTTGTTTTGAAGCTCTCAAAACTATGCTGTTTTCAAAACACAATCAGTTGCAAGAAAATTTGCTGAAGTTGTTTATTTTAGAATTGGAAATCTATGGCCGGGGGATAATTGATAAGGCTTTTTGTTCTAAGCATTGTGTATGGTATATTTTTTTCCCAAGTCAGTGTGTGTGACATTTTCTCATGCAGGTTTTGGTTTGTAACAGTGGTGAATTGATATTGACTCCCAGAAAGGAACTCTGGAATTTCGTCAGAAGTGAACCTAATGCCGGACGGGGTAAGTCTGCTGCCTGCTTCTGTACACTAATGCTCTATTTTTCCCGATGCAATGTACCTAATGCTTGACTCATTTTCTATCAAGGGCAATCAATTGATCCTCTAATTACTGATGCTTCTGGAATGTAAATGTTGTAATTCAAATTTTTTATTTCCCTGAAGTGTGTTTTACGTGCATGGGCTTGAGATTCTTTGTAGCCACTTAAATTTCAATGCGTGCAATTTTAGCTAGTGTTCTTGGATTTTATTTCATTTATTTATAAGCAGAAACTTGATAACCTTGTGGATATGTCAACGTACTGTCTTCAAATAATTTTTAGACTCTATTTTGTTTAATTTATCTACTGCCCACCTCTTTAAAACTCTAGTTCTTTTGTATGGTTTTTGCTGTCAATAAACCTCTGTGTTACATGTGAAAGAGCTCAAAAACCAGCTATTTCAACCTTCCTTAGGCATGCCAGATTGCCAACTCTCTGATGCATACTCAATAGTGTGGTTTTCGTCTCAAATCTAGAGGATTAATGAATTTCAAGTTTTTAACTCTTGCACATATTTTGATAGCTTTATAAAAAATAAAAAAAATAAAAAAAAAATATGTTGCTTTTCCTTTTGTTGGTTTTTTCTCCTTGTTGCTTCGGTTAGCTAACTTTTGGAAGTGTTGTTTATTAGATTGGTCTGTTTTCTTGTATTTGGGAGGTATGCCTCTCTGTTTGTAGTTTGTAGTTTGGTGATTAATAAAAGTTTGGCTTAGGGAAAAAATAATATTTAAGTGGAAAATTGCAGAGGCCAGTTATGTGTAAGACATATATACCAACAAAGAATGACATCTTAAGTGGCACAGAAGCTGTAATATGATCTCCTTATTACTACTACAGATTTTTATTTTTATTTTTTATCATGGTCACTGATGACCTGGAAATTGTTTTTTGCTGCCTTTTACAACTTGGCGTTAACGGCCATATCTTTTTCTTTTCTTGTTGATTTTCCAAGTTACTAGCTGACTTCTAGATGAATGCTCTGTTCTGTTTTGTGCGAACAATTCTCTGATTCTATGAGAATGCTGTGGCTGTATTCAGTTAATGAAAAGTTTTCTCAAGTGTACGAGTCAAAAATCCTCATATGGGAAGTTATTAGCTTGCATTGTTTTGATTATAAATAGAAGTGCTATTTAGTTTCAATATCCATTAATTATATTCTCAAGAATGTACTAAATATGAGATGTCGAACAGTCTTAAGTATGGTAATGTCAACATATCTCCAAGAAAGTGAATCCTAGAAATGAAAAGGAAACCACTTAAATGTTTTAAAGTGAAGAATTGTCGGTGACAGATCACAATACATCATGCAGCAAGTACAACAACGATAGCCGATCGGGGTTTATCGGTGCAATACTCAATGAATCCTAAATTCTGTTGGCTTCACTCAGTATCAGTTTCATCTTGTCAAATGGCTTATGCAGTGAACTGTATAACATAAAAACACAAATCAAGTTTTATTTCATGCAGTTCTTATCTTTTTTATGTAGAATTATCTTACTCATACTATGTGAGGTACCTTTTCTGAAGGCATGCATGTTCCTATTCTCACCCAAATGAATTCATGCAATAAGACTAGCTTCTGGAGTTCGCATGATGAGAAAGAGGGGAAACTGCAGACGGGGATCTTGCCTACCACGGTCACACCTCTATCTACTGCTCAAGGAGCTATTGCATGCAATGAGATGGTTTATGTCAATGGATACAAAGTGAAGGCTAGTGCCGCATCTAAACTTGGGGCAATTTTTGCAAAATACGGCGACATTTCTGCTAATTGTCAGTTCAAGTCAGCGTCTGCGAGGGTTTCCCTGCTTGGGTTTGTTTGTGATCTTGTTCAGCGGCTGCAAAGCAATGCCATTACTCACATTATTACTGAGCTTAAAGTTATAGAAAATGAAGTATCGGATGCAGAGGCGGCCAAACTTGAAGTTTCCTGGCCGCGCGAGCACTTAGCAAAGATCCATGTAGTAGAAGAGGTTGGTCAGAGATCTTCCTTGCACAAGAATGCAAAAGCAAATAGCATCCTTGTCATTAAAGCAGCCACTAAGGAGTTGGAACAGAGGCAAGTGGAGCTGGTGGCAGCGCAAGAAGGTGTTAAAGAGGCAGAGAAGTGTGTAAATGCAATGAAACTTGTAAGCCAAAAGATTGATGACACCATTTTGGAGTCCGAGGCTGAAGAATATTTCTGGCGGCGATGATTGAATGGCCTCTTGTAGCTTGTAGGGGCTCTCTCTTGCCATACACAAGTCACATAACAAAAGAAGTGAAATTTTTTATTCATCAACAATGTCACACTTATCTTTCGAAGCATAAGTGAATGATGGCTTCCCTCAACAAATACCAAATGAGTAGTGCTGCTTTGCAACTGCAATGAACAACTTGAGGTGGGATGATTGGAGAGGGAAACTGAGAGTGAATGCTGATGTATCATTGCCCTTTGCATTTTGAAGAATCTCTCTTTATGGTGGCGAAAATCGGACCTGTACATTAAAATAGCTGTGTCAAGTTACTTATTGGAGGCAAAAAAAAAATCTATCTTAGTGCTAGAAGGGAGAACAAAATGTTTACTTATGTAATAGGATATAGTTAGTGTGTGTGTGTGTGTGTGTGTGTGTGTGCATGCCTGTATTCGCAACTAAAAGCACGAGTGAACTTGCCTTAAAAGATCTATAGATATGTTTGGTTAACGAATCAAATTCAACTTTTATTTTAAATGATGCACACAATTTGAACGAAACAAAGGATTTCATGTACTTATTAATGTAAAAAGGAAAATAATTTTGGAAAATTAAAGGTTCCCAAAAGATTGTACTTAGCTCTGAATTGGTTTGGTGCAGCTGTGGTCTATCGAGGTCCATAGAGAAAGATTGCGAAATGGTGAGTGGGTGAGTAGATATGTGATGGGTTCAATCTTTTACATATCTGAATCAGTTCAGAAGATACCCTGATCTGAATATGCATGATCAAGCTCTCCTCTCATAGGTAAGATTTATATGGTTTAAAATTTATATGGTTTTTGTGAGGAGTTGACAGCCCAAAAAAAAAACACTTTCGCTCTAAAAAAAATGAATGGATTGAGTTTAAATTATTTAAGAAATGTAACTTAAATTTAAAATTAAGCTAAATTTTAAATAACAAATTTATGTTATTTAAAATTTATATTAGTAAAGAACGTCGATTATGTATTTTTAACATCTCTAATTTTAAATCGATGGATTGTTTGGAGTCGGTTAGTGTAGGTGGGAATTAGGGCCGGTAAAGGCCAGGTTTGGAGTCGGTTGAGACTAGGGTTGGGAAAATAAGGAATACTGCATTACATTCTATGTAACAATTTGATGGATTGTTTAAATGAAATTGTTGAGATTGATTTGTGGTTTAAAATGCTATGACATTCCCTAATGCATGATCCCGATACTCTTTCATTGCCCTTATTTGTTTCGTGGCTTAAGGGAGTCCAAAGTTTGCGTCTTCGGGATCTTTTACTGAGCCTATGTGCTCACCCATTCCTTTAATATTTTTTAGGTTATGGCAACGATGCGGTTGAGGAAGGACCCTCACAAGTGTACTTAGGGTTAATAAAAGCACCATTTTGTATTATCTTGTATTAGACGCTTTAATTGATGTAAATTCTTGTAAAGTATTATAATTGTGGCTGGAAGGGTCTAAACTTGTATCTTTATCCCGTCGGAGTATGTTTTAATGTAAATGATGTAACTCAAAGGTTTTAATTGATGCCTTGCTTTCATTTACCATACTTATGCATGTTTGATTATATTGAGATAGGGGCATTTAGGTCAAAAATGACCAAATGGGTGTTCAGGATCGCGAACGGGGATAAAAGGAGGCAAAAACCCCATTTCTGGGCTGCTCCGAGCACTCCCTGCTTTATTGCGAACGCTCGGCGCATGCGTCGGGGTGCCTAGGACACACCTACAGAGCGCTCCGAGAGTATCTACTGAGTGCTCGGGGCATGCGCTAAGGTGCTTGTGGCACCCTCAGAGTTCTCCGAGGACATCAATGGAGCGTTCTGTATTAGATTTTAGGCGCTGTTTTTTTAAAAGTTTTTGTTGGCCCCGAACTTCAATGTATGGGTCCACCAAGGTATTTGGGGAAGCTTAAATCACTATGGCCCCGCTGGAATGCGAGTAAATTGGCCCGGAATGACATTTTTACCCTTTTGAGCCTTAAAATGGGTGAGCTCGAACCAAGTTATTTTCTTTCATTTATAAATGATCCTAAGCAACTAGATATAGCTATAGCCTAGAAGACAATTATAAGATCCCTAATGCAATGAACGACCCAAAAAGACCGATTAACCCTTGTAACCGTAAGTGAACCAAATTGTAACCGAGGTTTTTTTTTTCTTTATCCAGAAGCTATTTAAAATGATTAGAATCGATCATTAAGACTTCATATAGACTTTAAATGCCTTGTACGGGTCACATAGACCATTTTACCCTTGGGTATATACAGGTCGGGTCGGGACCCTGTTAGCGATCCGGACCCCTGAGTTTGGGTCGTTACATGAAACCCTAACCCAAGTATTGTATTATTTGTTTTCAATTTGGGGATTATTGTGTAGATTGTTTAACCTTGCGAATTAAACTTGGTTGTACCAAGATTAGTTGTCTTTTTAATTCTTTAATTTGCACCAAGATTAGTTGTGTGTTTAATGCTTTAATCAATCTTCATATGATTTTTACATTGTCTTATGCAATGATTATGGTTGATTGATCTCAACATCTCCACTTCTTGTAGTTGTGTGGATGATGGTTAAATAATGGTGCTTAATTGATGTATTTGCATTTTATTTGATAATTCATGCTTAGATTTGATGGGTTGTGCTACAACATTAGAGTAAAAGTATCCAGGTATACAATTCATGCTTAGCTTTGTTGAGTTATGCATGTTGATGCAATTTATATATTCTCTTGACCACGATTGTGTGCATATAGCCACAATTCTTAATTGCACAAATATATTTTCCAAAATTTGATTGCAATGATATAATTACAAGGCTTAGATGTGGATTCTATGACTTAAATTTTTCAATGTCTTCATTCAGTTATCCATTTATCATTTCTTTTATTTGCATTTGTTTAGTTTCATTAGGATTATAAACAAACATATTTTCTATTTAATCACATGTTCACTAATTGTAAATTGAATGAAGCTGCTAGGATGATAAGCAAACATATTTTCTATGTAATCACTTGTTCACTAATTGTAAATTGAATGAAGCCGCTAGTCCATGTGGACGATCCATACTTACTATACTATATAGTAATAGTGGTGGTTTTATAAATGTAAAATTGACTTTCCGAAGTTTTCAAAACCACATTCTTATCGACCTTGTGAAGCGATTTCTCACGAGTTATGTCAATTTCTACCGGTCTGGGTTTCCTAGCTAAAAATTCTGGTGTTCGAGAAATTGAAAATCATTGGATTGATAATGATTCAGCCATTTGTCAACGGCGAAGAGCGCACGGAATCAGAGCTCTGACTGACGAAAGTGCTGCTGATGAATTTGAGGTGTTTCTGCTAGAAGGATCGAACCAGAACTAAGAGTTGGCAAACGTGTTCGGCAGTGGATCGAAATCCATTGATTTGGTGGCGAGAGATGTCTGCTTCTATGTGTATATTTTGCCTCAACTGTAATTGATTATGAAGCATCAATTTATATTTATGGCGGTCGGAGATTTTGAGTGTTATGGCCTACATGGTTAATTGATGCTTGTAACTTGGAATGTAAGGTGAAAAAAAAAAAAACTTGGAATGTAATTATTTGATGAATTAATAATGTAATTCCTTGATGAATTAATAAAATTTGTTATATATCAATTTCAAAAAATAAATATTTGCCATGTTAAAATGAAAATTTGAGCTCATTTGTTGCTTTATATACTCCAATGTGTACTTTTTTATTTGGTAAAAACTTCGAAAGAACAATTAGGATAGTGGATGAACCAAGTGTTGTGGCGAGCACCAACAGTGGCTGCAAAGCCATGGACGAACTGTAGATTTTTATTTTATTTTATTTTATTTATTTATGAATTTTTGTGTAATTTTATATCATATCTCAACTGCAGTTAGTCCTCAGTTAGGCAAAAGGGGTAATTTGTTACCATTAGTAAATTGGGGTTGTTTTTTGCTCCCAAAAAAAAAAAGAAAAAAAGAAAAGAAAAGAGAGAGGGTGTTTTGCAACCTTTTGAAATTAAAGGTGGTTTTTTGCACTAATTACATTTAATAATATAATAAAAGTTGCACATATTAAATAGAAGCAATCCAATAATTTTCCAACAGCTATCAAGATGTTAGCATTTGTAAATCCTGTTTTGTTCAAACGGATTAATTTATTGGTATCCTACAGTCATGCAGAAAACATGAAGTCCTTACCTTGCACTTTTTCAATAGGAATAGCCAGACTATGAGTGACATGACACCACATAATAAGAAAGCCACAAGTGGAGCTAAGAACACCAAATTAGATGCACCCAATTTCGTAGGCTTCTTTGGCATTTCATTCTGGTTTGGTGGTGAAACATTTTTAATGAAAGGTGGAAGGAGCAGCAATGGGTCGCCAAAGTAGGACTCTTTCTCAAATGTTGCAAATTGCCCAGTTGTGGGGATCACACCAGAAATGTTGGGATTGTATGAGATGTTGAATTTGCTGAGCTCATTCAAGTTGTTCAAGCTGGTTGGGAACGTGCCTGAGAAATTGTTATATGACAAGTCCAGGTTTTCTAAGCATTTGACATCACCAATTGCCATTGGAATTTCACCAGAAAACTTGTTCTGTGAAATGTTGAGGACTACAGGTGGCATTTGACTAATCTCTGGAGGGAGAGAACCATTGAATTTATTTTCACCCAATTGCAGCATACTGAAGTTCTGCATCTTACCAATCTCAAGAGGGAGTTTACCGGATAATTGGTTCCCGCTAAGTTGGACATAACCGGATATCTGAAATGTCCGGACAGTTGAGCCAGGCGCACACACTGGGAATAGACCATATCCTTTCAGCAACTTATCCCAAAGGTTTCTGCAACTCTTCTATGTAAGCAATGTGTACACAAAACTAAAAGGAGGATAGTTTGCCGGAATCCACCTCCTCATCACCAAGCACTCACCAGAACCAGAAGCAAGTCCATCACTTTTCTTATTTAACTGGAAGGTTGGAGTCGCATTCAAACCAATATTTGTCAACTCAGGTGGGATTGTCCCAGAAAGTTGATTGTTCGCGAAGTTTAACCACAACAAGCTATTACAATCCCCCAACTCCAGTGGGATTTCACCTGTTAATTCATTGTTCGCAAGCATCAACCACAAAAGAGAACTTAAATTTCCAAAGGTTGGTGGTATTGAGCCGTTTAGCTGATTGAAGGAGAGATCAAGAGCTTGAAGGCCTGTCAACTTTCCATATTCAGGTGGTATATTGCCAGAGAAGTTATTGCATGCAAGAATCAAGAACTTCAAGCTCATCATTTCAGAAATTTCAACTGGTAATGGCCCCGAAAAATTGTTCAACCTCAGGTCTAGCCTCTCAATTATCGGCAACTTGAGAATTCCAGAGGTGTATAACCCCCGGTATATGAATTAT